ACCATTCTCCTCTCAGGATCTTGGGCATGCATGTACACGCACTCAACATGAGTTTAAGCCACTGGATCTGGAACTCGAACCTCGGTCAACTACATGGGAGTCCAGTGACATAGCCATTATGCCAACTGCTGGTTCCAGAGCAGAACCTTTTTAATCTGATGTAATTCCAATTGTCTGTTTTGGGGATTATTACCTGTGTCTTGTGAATCTTATTTAAGAAGTCTTTGTCTGTACTGGTGTCCCCAAGGGGTTCCCTTACATTATCCACCAGTACTGTTATAGTTTGAGGTCTTTGGTTTAGATCTTTAATCTATTTTGAGTTGATTTTTGTTCATGGTGAGAGAGAGGGATCCAGTTTCATCTTTCTGCAGGTGGATATCCAGTTTTGCCAGAACCATTTGCTAAACAGAGTTAGTTTTTCCTACTAGATTGTGTGGTGCTCTTTGTCAAAAATCAGTTGCCTTTATGGTTTGGGGTTTATTTCTGGAGTCTCTATTATGTTTGATCCACTCTTCTTGCATAGTATTGCTTTGGCAATAAGGGGTCTTTTATATTTCCAGACAAATTCTGTGATTTTTTTTCTAAATCTGTGAGGAATATCTCTGATAATTTGATTGAGATTGCATTAAATTTGTGGATTGATTTAGTTATGATTGACAATTTGATTACATCAGTTCTCTCAATCCAGGACCATGGAATGTCTCTCCACTTTTTTGTATTATTTTCAATTTTTTTTTTTTTTTTTTTTTTTTTTTTTTTTATTTTTTTTTGTTTTTTTTTTATAATTTCGTGACTATTGTAAATGGAATTGCCTTCTCCAATTCTACTGTGGAAGGCCACATATTAGATCTTGCACATGAACAACTATTTGTTTATTTTGTTCCTTTACCTACTTGTCTGCTTCTGTATACCTACTTGTTCTTCCCATGAGAAAATAGCTCATGCTAGCCATACAGAAAACTGTCTTTGTTAACTAGTCCAAAAATCTTTTGGTTTAGCAATACAACTTTGCGTGGAAACCCCACTCCTCTCAGAAATAATTAACCTGCTCAATTCAGCTTCTGTAACTGTTTTCACATGGGAATCCTGCACATCTGGCAACCAACCCCTATAAAAGGCTACCCCAAACTTTGGCTGGTACTGTAGTTCTGACTCTCGGCCACCAACCTCAGGTTGTAGTCACTGACCAGCTAGTAAAGACTCTCTTAAACCTTAATCTGACTTTAGTGGTTGTTCATTCAGTTGCACTCTTTAACACTACCTCAGTCTGTTACTGTTGGTGAATAGAAATGCTATAGATTTTTCTATGTTGACTTTGTATCCTGCCACTTTATTGTATTCATTTATCACTTCTAGGAGTTGTTTTTTTTTTTTTGTAAATTATTTTGGGTTTTCTTTATATATAATCCTGACATCTGAAAATAGATATAATTTCACTTCTTTTTTTCCTATTTTAATGGCTTTTTTTTTTTTTGTCTGATTGCATTGGTTAGGACTTCCAGTACCATACTGAAAAGGAGTGGAGAAAATGGGTAGCCATGTCTTGTTCTAGTTTTTGGTGTAAAAACTTTCAGTTTTTCCCCATTCAGTATGATGCTAGCTATGGATTTTTAATATATGACTTTTATTGTGTTGAGAAATGTCCCTTCTAAGCTGATTTTGCTGAGAGTCTTAATCATGAAGTGATACTGTATTTTATCAAATACTTTTTCTGCATCAATTTTATGATCATATGATTTTTGTCTTTTTTCCTACTAATCTGGTGCATTACATTTATTATCTTGTGGAGAAGAGATGGTGGTGTGATAAGGCCCATTAGGGAGTGCTTCTTCCTTTATCTCTCTACTTCTGCCTCTCTCTCTCTGAGTGCACATACCCTGTGACAAATAAAAAAGAAAGAAAAAAAGGAAGAAATGCAAAAGGAATGAAAAAAACTCTATGTCTGAGATAGAATATGGATGCAGGGTCAAGGGAAAAGATCTTGAAAGTACCAGAATTATGGAATAAATTGAATGTTATGAGAGGAATCTCAATCTTTATTCTTCACATAAAAGACAAGTACTAAAAGCTTTTTAAGACAGTGTATGTTGACTTTTAGTTATTTTTAAATTAAATACTCTTTTTTTTTTTTTTTTTTTTTTAAATTAAAATCTTTTTTTTTTTTTTTTTTTGCTATAGGGCTTGTGTGCTCGCCAGAAAGACAGAGAGAAACAGAGAGACAGAAAGCAAGAAATCACCCCCTGGGGGGGATGGCCACACCACAATCCCTTCCCCTCCATTCTCCTCTCTGGATCTTGGGCATGGACGTATGCACGCCGGGTGTGAGTTTAAGCCCCCGGGTCCTGGACTCAATTCGCAGTCGACTAACTACATGAGAGTCCAGCAACATAGCCATTATGCCAATTGCTGGTCCCTAAATTAAATATTCTATAGTTAGAGACTGTCCTGCAGATATGATTGACTGGAGTCAAATATACTAACCAGGAAGCTATAACTTCTGTCCACCAGATTCCAAATCAGTAACATCACCAGTGTTGCAGAGAACTGGGTGAATGCACAAAAATGATATTAAATGTGTCCTCTCACAATTTGTGTGATACACCTTAATTGTGATGGAATTAGTGAAGTGAAAACTTAGGCTGTGGGATTAAGAGTTAGGGCCTTTGGGAGGTGATTAGGTTTAAGGTAATAGGGTGAGGTCCCGATTCTTGAATACCTGTGGATTTGTAAGAAGAAGGCGTGAAACTGACACACACAGAGACACAGACACATGCTCTGTGCTTGCTGTGTCTCCATGTGATGCCTTCTACCAAGTACAGCCAGAAAGAGGACCTCCACCAGAAAGAGGACTCTCAGCAGAGGTGTCCCCTTCAGTGTAGACCTCAAAAATCAGGAGTTAAATAAACCTATTTTCCTAAATTACCCAGCTTCAAGTATTCTGTTATTAAGAAATAGAGAACTAAAAGAAATATCCTCTAAATTGTAGTACTAATTAAGTAATATACATGTATTTCATGGCTTCTTTCCTTTTTTTAAAGTTTTTGCCATAGGGTCCATGAGCTCACAGAGTTCATGAGAGGAGAGAGATGAAAAAAGGGAGAGGGAAAGTGAAAATCACCACCTAGGGGAGATGGCAATGCTGAAATCCCTTCTCCTTTAGTTTCCTCTCGAGATTTTGGGCATACAGGCACACGTGTCCAGCATGATTTTTAAGGACTCAAACCAAGGTTGGTTATGTGGGGATCCAGCATCTCCATAGTTTCTTTTTAAAGAAAGCTTCATAGATAGCCTAAACTACAGGCTTTGTATAATTGTGTATTTTAAATTTTACCTAACTTTCAAGTTTATATGAAAAGTGATATATGGAAGGAATAAATCTGT